TTGAAGAAACCACACTTTTTTACGTAGCAGCTTAGCCGCGTTGCGATGACGCACGAGAGGAGCTCCAGGCGCGCAAATGACACAATCTTGATCGGAGCAAGTCTACCTTTGCTGATTAACAGGTGTGTGAAGCTGATACCAGATTCAGATCTTACACGGGCGTAGATGCACGTGCCATGCGCTCTTGGACTGGCATCAGTGAGAGTATGCAGCTCGACTTTGAATGGCTTGACGTCGTCTCTCAGGAACACGTATCGTGGGATGTAGACTCACGTTGCGCCATTCAGCTCTGAGCACCAGCTGTTCCACTTGACTTGCTCTTCATCTGGCAAGATCGCGTCCCATGCAATGTTCTTCTTCCAAAGATCTTGGAATACAATCTTGGCCTTTAGGATAAATGGGCTGAGTTATCCGAAGGGGTCGTCAAGTTACGCCGACGTTTGCAGTGCCACGCGTTTGGTCGCAGGCTTCCGAGATGCGAAAATAGCAGCTTGTTCTGTTGTGAGGAGGAAGCTTTCACCAGAATGTTCCCAATAAATTTTAAGAATCTTCATCTTGTGACTGTCACCTGCTTCATCTTCAATAACACAATTATCGTGGAGGAATCGCTTCTTCAAGCTGTCACAATTAAAAGCCCATTTGCGGAGCTCCATGCTGGCCTGCCTGGATATTTTCTTTGTTTCTTCATACAACTTTATTGCCTCCTGCGTGCTCGGTAGTCCTGCCAGAAGGTCGTCCACAAAGAAGGCCTGCTCTAAGAGGGCTACTGTACTGGTTATTTCTGCTTATAAGACGATAAGTAGTGTTGAAGTGTAGCAGCCAAAAGGAATGGGCTGCATGCGGCTCCGAACGGAACCCTCGTTATTCTCCACATTGTTGTGGGTGGCGTGGGCTCTTGCTTAGTCGGTAATTTTTCCAGCCAGATGAAGCGTAACAGGTCTCGGTCTTCAGGCCTAATGAGATGCTGCAGATATGCTTTCTTTATATCAGCAGCGAGAGCCACAGGATGGTAGAAAGTTTAATAGGAGTTTGATGATGTCTGCCCCAAGTTTTACGCCTTTTGAGAGTAAATCATTAAGGCAAAAATGATTAGCTTCATGCGATGATGCGTCAAATACCACGTGAAGCTTCACTGTTACAGCTTAACCGTGAACCACGGTGTGATGGGGCATATAGCATGTTGGCCTTGAGTAGCTGCTCGTCCTGTACCCTTTCGGCATGACCATCGTTTAAATAAGCTGAATTTGCTTTGTCGTATTTTTCCAGCAGTTATGGCTGCTCTCAGAAACGATTACTTTGAATTCGCAGTCGATGGTCGGCCAGTCAGCAATTGTTGCTTCCAGATTACGGTAACCCGGGCGGTTAGACCATCAGAGGCACTTGAAAACGACCATCTTGCTTGGAGATGCTCTGCATAAATGCAGACATGAGGGGGGGGCCACTTCCGATGGTCTGGAAACAGGAGGCGTCGATCCCGATTGCGTGAAGACGCCATATTGACAACACGTCATAAATGTCAGTCGTAACGAACAATGCACTTGCTGAGAATTGGCTGTCGGACATTATAGGACCTTGCGCCATCCATCCGAAGGTGGTTTCGATCGAGATTATACATGCACTGATGCGATAGATTTTGCCACTTGTGACTTGCCAAAAGGCGTTCGATCCTTTGAAGACATTGATATCGTTTGGTTGCCACGTACTTTGTTGAAAGTGGTCAGCTACGTTGTGCTCCCGTTCGAGAAGTTGGTGCGAAATGTTTGAGTCGAGTGGTGAGCTTGTGACAGAGCAAATTTCAGGAATCGTTAACGCTTCCAAGGTATTTGCTGAATCGGTGAACTAGTTTTGAAACCGCACGTTGACACGCTCGGTGCAAAGTCGCCTTCGTCACTTGTATACTACCAAAGTGACAAGGGAGAGCTCTTCTTTTCCTACAACAAAGCACTGAAGCGTCCTTGGCAGGTCTGTAGAAATGTATTTGCGCTAACTGCCACTGTCCAGCACTTCCCGCACGAGAAGTCGGTGGTCTTCAAACTCTGCCGAAATTCAACCTGTCTGAAACAATACGCGAGAGGAGTCAACGTGACTCTGGGCAGTAGTGACCATTGGCGTGGTTAATTGGGGTGATTGAGAGAAGGCTGATAATCAGGTGTTAGGGTGTGTATCCTCGGTTGCGCGTGATAACTCGCAGGGAATAGTCAGGGGGCGCCGCTTGTAAGTACCACACGAAAGATTGAATGACTTTCTGCACATTCTAGCGATGTGGTTTCGTGTTCCACAGCGGAAGCAAAAATTGGTGTTCTATAGCCTGCCCGCTTCTCTTCAGACGATAGGTTGGCATTGCAAGCAGCCCTCATGTGATCCTTTACACGCCAGTCTAACAGGCAAGGTAGACCCCGCTAGGGTGGACTCTGACCGTATGATTTCTATGCCACACGTTTCTTCAGATATGTGAGTACTGGCTTCATCTTGCGACAAATGACGAAACTGTAACCGGCCCTCCTCCCGGATTTCCACTTAAATGTGGACAAACGTTAGTAAATCCTTGACGAGCCACGTCTGGTCTTCAGGCGCTTCAGCGATGCTGGAGGCGTGATTCAATTCTTTGGATTTATGTCTGTACATAATAGCGACATCGTCCTGCAGATATCGCAGGACGATGTCGCAAGTAGATAATCAACATGATCGTTCACAAAGAGATCTTGGCGTCAAAGCGATCTGTGAGGGCCTTGATTGCAAGGTTTTATTTTCGCTCTGCTAAATGAATGCCTTCGACAGCTCGCTTCGTGCTCCCGGTTAAGTAAGTGTCGAGGTACTTGAATTTTTTGATTCGCGGTAGCTCGGTATTTTCGTGGATGGTAGCATCGAAATGGTCCAAAAGAATCGTTATCCACAAAGACTACCATCAAACGTTGGAATCTGGAGCTTAGGCAGTTGAACCGCAAGCGGATGGTGTGCTCTCTCATGCCCTGCTGCTTCGCCGGAGCTCGGAAGTTCTAGGTTGTTTGGCCCGGGTCCAGTGGCCCGTGACTCCGTAGTGGCTGCCTTCTCACGTTCCTGTACCCAGAACTTAGCTCTTGACATGGCGTAGAGAATCTTTGCCTTGTACTCGTCTGTAGTTTCCACTTTACGATCCAGGTTTTCTTCATCCGTTGCCGCCAGAATGACCTCATCGAGCCTGGAAGTGCTGGTTCTTTATCTTTCAGGAAATCCATGTGGCAGGCAATCGTTGAGGCATCAGGGTCCAGTTGCTGCAGCAGGTCCAATAACATTGCTAGGGCTCCGGTGACACCAGCTCTGATCCAGCTGCGCTTTTTCCGAAAATGGTCAGAATTCGCATGGTCGTGACGTTCAGGGAAGTCTCCGAAGGGGTGAATCCCGGTTTTCATGCACCAAATGTAAAAATAACCCGTCCGCAGACGTTAGGCGGAGACGACCCGTTTATTTGTCTTGAAGCTCAAGCTGTCCATGACTAGCCCGTCCCTATTTCCACCTCTTCGTCATCTCCATCCGTCGCGCACGCTCCTCGATGCTCCGATCCAGCGCATTTTCAACAGTTTCGTTCGCCTATTCGGTGCATTATTTGGGACTTGCAAGAATTCTGGAGCCATTTTTGGTGTGCTGCATCATATCGGTGACGTAATGGCGTAAAAATATTTAAAAGTTGAGGCTTGCTTCAAGATACACGCTTCTAAAGCCACGAATTTACAAGTGTCGTGAGTGTTTACGAGCGCATGGCGAATTTCTGAGCACATAGAGACACTGCCTTTATAGCCCGCCTCGCCAGCCACTTCAACAGCGACGCAATCATTGGCGGTGACCTTAACTAACACCACACTTCGTGGCACTGTGTTTCGACTGACTTACGCGGGTGAGCTTCTCGCTGCAGCACACAGAGCCGCCCATGTCATCTTTTAATTCGGGAAGTTGCACTCTGGCGCATCGAGGTGTGTCCGACAGTGTCATCAACTTGAGACTGGGGGGTGGTGCATATCTTTATGAATAATATCGTACACCGACCTCCCAGGGCTTCTACCATTAGCCTATCGCGGTGAACCCCACTCAGCCACCATGTACGCTCGGAGCTACAGAGTGGTGTAGAGGGCGCGCATCAGATAACTGTGTGCTTTAGTACCAGGCTCTAAAGAGGTCTTCACCGCACTGGCAGAGTGCGACAATGCAGGAGCCAGTCAATGCACCGCACCAGGGCAACCCTCCACTAGATGTTTGCTTCCTGAACGTCTTGGCAGTACGACGCAGGGCGCAAATCGTTGCGGTACACTCTCGAAATTCGGAAGATTGGCGAGTCTCAAACTGTATTGACACGGTTTGGTGCAGGCGCGCCAGACGCCATTGCAACCAGAGCTGGGGTAGCCTCTGCTCGTCACTGTACTACCTTCGCAACCATGTTCACGTCTGGCGCATCTTCGCCCCCTCCTTAGAACCAGAGAGCCTCGATCCTTGGTTCTTGGTGTTGCTGTCGCGATGAGGATCACTGCGCAGGAGTTGGCCGAGCTAGTTACAGCCACTGCACGGACTGTCACTCCTGACTCAATAAGCCTGAGTGGTTCGCTTCCGGGTAGCCCCTTCTCACTGAGGATTATCGGCAGGAAATCCGCGCTTTGCACGGAGTAGTTTACGCTCAGCGAACTGACTGTAGTGCTCAACAGCCGCATGAAGCGGTCTGCCTCTTATGTGGTTGGCCTCACCTACCAGGTTCTGCGCGACTTCACCCGTTCATGCGCTCCCGAAGAATGGAAGCCTACAAAGAAGGGTGGCGCATGGGTGAGCTGCCTACCTGGGGTGGGCGCTTGTGGTTTCCATCCTGAAGCCACACAAACCAGACATGGAGCTCTCGTCTTATCAGCCAGTATCACTCACCTTGGCCGCAGGGAAGACCATGAAAGTCATGACACTGCAACACTTTAGGTGGATTGCCACAACAACAGACGCATTCCTTCCTGAACAGAGCACTTTTTGCACAAGGCACGGCCACTTACCGGGTGGCTGACGTGATCGCCACCCTCGAGGAATGAGAGTCGCATGGGGATTAAGACATCCTCGTCCTTCTCGGTGTCAGAAGTGCGTTGTGCTGTTTGCCCTACGCACCGATTCTTCACCCAATTCGTGACATAGGTGTGTGCAGGTAGACGTTTGTATACCTCGCAAGCTTATGGGAGACCACACTTTTCACGCTCGTGTTGGCTCCATAATCAGCTGTGTCTGCCTCGTCAGTGGTGTCCACCCCCACTGCAGCATATCGTGCCATTTCCTGTTTAAAGTGGCTCTTGTCAAGCAGGCCAGCTGCACGCTGTGCGACACGGCGTGTCATGTGCGTGCGGCCATTTACGCTGTTGGTATTGCGCGATTTACGTGCAGCTGGTCACTGTCCGTCCTTCTCGAGTCCCTGCAGATGGTCATCGACGCTGTGGGTGCATTGCTTAGTGGGACTGGAATAACACTCGTCGCCTCCAAGACGGAAGCCCTGCTCGTGCACCCGTGAGCCTCGACGCACTACTCCACGCCTCGGCTCTCGCTCAGGTGCCTCCCCGTCCAGTGGAGTGTGAAGGTGCACTTTTTATCAGTTACCATAGACCACCGGCTCATCTGGCAACCGGCTGTGAACGATCTACGGAAAAGCAAATGTAAGATACTTGGCGCCACAGGCTGTCTCCTCGCACGAGGTGGCACCGGCACCACCGCCCTTGCCCTGTGAGTCTACACCTAGTCATGGCCTAGTAGAAAACCAATATGCAGGGGCAACTACTTGTGAACAGGCTTTGCCCTCTGTCCTCTCTCGTTCATTGGGCAGTGGTATTTCAGTGTTTCGTGTTGCGTTTATGATGGCATTATTATTGCCTAAGTCTTCTTCGACGGAACACTAACCGCAGAACTCTACGTTATTGAAATACTAAATGACCACTGAGTGACTTGCCCTGACCATTTCTTCCCCAGGCACAGCTTCGGAATATCTGGTCGAAGCAAGAAGGCCCTCCGTACAGCTGTGGGTGCACTCAAACATAGCTTGATGGAGAATTTCCTGAGAAATAAATCGACCATCTGGGACATTTAGAGTGGCGTGCAAGATCCTTATATTTGATTCAGCTGAATTTAGTTCTATAGGAATACAAAAAAACACGTCTACATCGAAGTGAGGACAATGCCCGCAAGACTGAATTCTAAAGTAGGAGATGTATGCCACTGTAATACTAAAGAAATGTCGCGGAAATCGAAAGAAAGTGTGCTGACTTGATGTAGGTTTTGTATAGCGCCGATAGAGGTCTGTTTGAGCACGCGATGTAACCGCCCATAACGTCTCAAATAAATCATTTTGAATTCTGCGACTTCGCTGATCTCTTTTCAACACCTAACTTTCCAATTATTTAAGCAGAGAATGCTTTTTCATTCTTTCTGCTTATTTACATGCACCGCGCTTTGACAGACGGTTTCTAAACAAAAATTTCTAAATGTATAGATGAAGTAGAAGCAATACACTTTTACACTAACAGCTGATAGTGCCGTGTTGCTTGCAAATACCTAGTATAGAGGAATCGCATGTAATTGATAGAATTATGAAAAAAAACTTCTAGAATATCGTTTTTTTATCACAATGCCACGCTCTCTCCAACCATTAGGTTTCTCTGTGGCTGCCTCCGGTCTCCTATTGCATTGCCCCTGGCGGCAGTTTCATCAATAACTTTTTAATCTTTTTCTTTCTTTATTTTCTTTCTTGCTTTTCGAGCAGAATCGTCCAACTATCGCTTGACGTTCATTGTAGTCCCGATAGCCTGTTCTCATGATCTTCGTGCTCGAAAAGCAGTTTTTGATCCGTTCAACTTACTTGTGAGGGCAATAAAAGCTCCGCGCGTCAGGCCGCACTCACGTGGTATTTTTTTTATTATCACGCTCTTTAAAAAGCAGCTCAAAAAGAAATTCAACAGCTTGATTTTGTTACCATAACTTGAAAATGAAGTTATTTCTGGATCATGACTACCATTTTTCTGTAATTGTTTTTGTCTGTAGTAAGTGTTTCAAAATTTTATTAAGAAATTTTCGTGATCTACCCTGCTTGGCAAATCAGAAAAAAAATGTTCTAACACGCCACGTAGAGATAAAAACAGTATAGCGTTAGTCCCAGACGTGTGATACTTTTATTTCTTTTGCTTGGTGCTTTTAAGCCTAAACACCATATATATCAGTCTAGTGGCTAAGGTACTCGGCTGCTGACCCGCAGGTCGCGGGTTCAAATCCCTGCTGCGGCGGACTGCATTTCTGATGGAGGCGGAAATATTGTAGGCCCATGTGCTCAAATTTTGGTGCACGTTAAAGAACTTCAGGTGGTCGAAATTTCCGGAGCCCTCCACTACGGCGTCTCTCATAATCAGATGGTGGTTTTGGACGTTAAACCCCACATATAAATCAATCAATCGTAGTATATTTATAAATTAGATGGCTGACACACTCGCGCGAACATCCCTTGATCTTCCGATTAGTTCAAATCATGTCTCCTACATCTCATGTAACAGCATCGAGGTTCGAAAACTTTCCCTTCTTGAAGACTCATCAAAAAGTACGATACAGGATCCTGACTTCTCGCACCTGCACTTCGCATGAAATGATAAATGGTGTCTCACGCGTAAATTGAAAGTCTCTATAACAAAAATTACGTTGCCGTGTACCACCTTTTAATTTCTACCTAAACAGGTCTGGTCTGGTGCCATTCCCTCTGTGTTCAAGCTGTAGTAAACCTGAACATATCGACCACTTTCTTCTCACTTGTGACCATTTCAAAAATCAAAGAAAATATTGCTTCGACATTTTATTCAAAAAACTAGGAATATCCCTTACTACTCCTAATATTTTGTCTTTTGGGGCCGCTTCATTAGGACACAGGGACAGGAACATCTGCGGGGCTCCCTACGAATTCCCTATGTAACACAAGAGGATTACCTTGCTGAGCCATTGATCAGCTCTTGAGTTTCATTAGCCAATCTAAAATTTATAATTTAGCTATTACACTGTAATGATTTAACCTTCAGAAGAATTTCATATAACGATTACACCTCAGAAATTTTACAAATATTATTATTTCTCTTCTTACCCCTTTTTACATTGTGCCAAATTAATTTCACAGTCAAAACAAAGTAATCCTATTCCGCTAGCCTGAAAAACCTAAAGGTGTTGACTGCATTAACCACCGCCTTTTTGGCCAATCCCCTTTAGTGGCTGAGAGCCACAAAAGAAAGGTTCAAGCAAGCAAGAAAGAAAAATGATTGTACTGTGAAAAAAACCGTTGATGAAATCAGTCTTTTAACTTGTCCTTCACGTTGTCAGCTTGTTGTGGACTCTGTTTTTCTATATGCGGTGGTCACCCTTACCGGGTTCAAGACTTCAGAGATGCTCTTCGGGACATCATTGGCTTGAAGGAAGTATGCTCCATAGGATAATTTCAAATGTCTCATGTTTGGATGGTCCCATGCAGTTCAGAGCTGACGAAAACAAAGTTGGTCACAAGAGGCAAATTTTTCTCAAAAGTCGTTGATGCTTCGTTATTGACTCACGGAAGTGAAGCTTATGTGGCTTCCTGAGCACTTGAAGGACGCCAATACTTGCGAGGCATTGCAAGCTCTAGGGAAGGTCAATATCTCAAGAAAGCTGGAAAGTAGCGGACATGGAGCAAATGCGGACGCTAAAGAGGGATGTTGTTTTGTCCCTTGCTGATAGAGTTTACGTTGCTGATTATCCTCATATTCTTGTTGTCTGTGGAGTGCAAAGCCTTTTCTCATACCTGGTCACCCACTACTTTGCCTTCCGTGGAGTAAGGTTGGGCACAGCCGTCTAAACTGCAGTACCTCTTGCTGTGACAACTGTCGACGCTTCGGTAATTCGGCCGAAAATTGTGTTATAACATACGCCAACAAGCTGTAATAGCACACACAACAGCCAGATGATAGCCTATAAGAGCGCAATATGGATGCCACCGAGGTTCTGGACGCAACAACAGACACTCCGTTAATTTCAGGTGCTTCGGGCTCTACCACAACGAACCCAGAAGAGACAAGAAAGTCACTCGCTGTTGACACAATTGATACTTCTGCGTGCAAAGAGCCAAGTGTATCATGCAAGCAGCATACCCAAAATGGCTTCGCACAACCCCTAGCACACGCAGAAGTTCCTATGAAGAGTGCTGTTGCCCTGACCCATAAAGATGCCGAACAGCCGCCAGTACAACACAGAGACTCTGGACTGGATCCTGCAGAAGGTTCTTCACCTGCTTGCGTTGCACTTTCGCAACAGCTTTTTCATCATAGTGCGGTGTGAGAAGATGGTATGCAGATCTCTATAGAATTAGCAATACCGAAGCGTCGCCTGTCGTAGAGCTCGGATTCAAGCAAAAGGAGTCACGCAGCGTCAGTTCACATGAAAAACAGCGCCAATAACGAGGGACAAAAAAGGAAGGAGACAGCCAGCAGCACTGTCGCTGTCTGTCTCCTTCTTTTCTTGTCCCTCGTTCTGGGCGCTGTTTTTTGTGTGAATCATGTCGTACCAACTCTCTCAAGCAACCACGCCAGCGTCATTGACTAAAAAATCACGCCGTCGCCGACAGTCCATGCCCAAAGGGAAGTGTCGGCGATCTCGATCTAGGAGGCCTAGTGGTGGTTCACGGGAAGCGTCACCACCAACTTTTGCGACTGATTAGGTGGGACGATAAGCGCATTAGAAGGTAGTCACCATGGCGCAGTCTGCGCTACTTATCTTTGCTACCTTGAACGTACGCGGCCTTAGGTCTTCACAGAAAGAGGCACAGCTCCGTAGACTTCTCAATAGGCAGTGTCTCGACTTTTTCGCCATTCAAAAAACAAAGATCGAGAGCAAGGAAGAGGCCGAGAAGGCCCTGCGGCCTTTTCTGTGTCAGTATATTGTGTATGTCTCACATGCGAAATCTTTATCTGTGGGCTGTTGGTTGTTTCTGAGAAAGAGCCTACCCTGTTCAACATTGTACACTAGTGTTGATGAAGAGGGCTGGTATATATGCTGTGATATT